AGGATTTACCTTAGTCTTAGTTGCTTTTAACCCAGCTCTCAAGTTAGCTCGGTACGGATGAGAGGATCGGAGGCTATGGTGGGACGTATGGCACTATCTGATTCATGGGAGTGGGAGTCGAGGACACGGCCTATACTACAGGAGGGTTTCTTCGGATCTCTTCCTCGTAGTGATCTACAGGTTCAGGAACAGCGGGCTGATTCTGAACTGGAGGGGGGTACTGGGTCTACAGGTCTAGCATCTGCTACTCTTGGTTGGCTTTGTGGTTGTGGATCTGTGTCCCCGGGTGGTAGAAGGAGGGTTTGTTCCTTGAGCAGTAGGTGCAGCCAGGGTATTTTCGATGGCTACCTGCGAGGTTAATTGTGCTAGCATCCGGGAAATCTCAGCTAGTTGACGGCTAACCGCCTCGTTAGAAAGTTGCTGATTTGCCGGGGCTGTAGGGTTCAGCTGGTGGTTAGAGCCAGTGGACTCTTCATTGTCCCCATCATAGAGAGGGTCCCTGGTGCCTCGGTGACTGGCGTTGTAGGCCATGATCTCTGGGTCTGATTTACCAAGGCGTTCTAGGTTCTCTATTTTGACTAACTTCCTGGACGGGCCTCTAGTAGATGACTGTCTAATAGGGAAAGCTCTTTTACTCTTAGCTCTCGTCTTACCATGTCAGATAGAATCTCTAGCCCCAAGATCAATCGATTCTATTATATTATCCCTTATATGACTTACAATCTAGTTAGACTTACCAGGAGAATCTATCTCTTAGCGTTAACCTATAGTCGTCCTTCTTATCCATATTACTAGCCTTCTTATAGTTATAGCAATTTTACCTCCTTTCTGACGAACTGAAGTAATTCTTAACTGATGTCATGTACTGACTCGGAATTACAAAGTATACGAACCGAACTTCCTTCTTTCGGACTAAAGTATACTTTAGCTGTAGCTGCTGTCTCATTCTACTTTGTTAGTACCTTTACAGGAGGTAGAAAGGAGCCCTTATGTGGATGATAGGGGAGTTCTTTTTTTCAGTCAAGCGTTAGGGGAATATATTACGGAAATAGGGGTAGTATTCTAAGAGGGTGGCAGCCAGCCCTCACCTCTACATTCATAGCTTGAACCCTAACGGGTCACTTCACTCCCTTTCGAGAGGGATTAACTCAGACTTAGCTATCATTATTGGCTAGGAAGTCTGCACACCATCAGTCTTCAATTTGATTCTACCGTGCCCTTATGATGCATGGTCTATCTTATGATATAGAAACCTGAAACACGAACCTTCACTCCGATCGCCCTCACAGCCCTTGGTCTCATTGAAGACGCTCCTTCGTGTTTGCCCTTCTCTTTTGGCATCCTCCCTTCAATCACTTGATTCCTACTATCAATGAGTTATTAATAACCTCGTTAGAGGAAGGGATATGATTAACTAGTAACTAGTCTCTAACGGAAGGGCTAAGCCCAGCAAACTACGGCTTGCGAGTATCTACAGGGCCTAAATCATCAACAGGTTCGCCAAGCACGTTGAAAATTCGTCCTAGAGTAGCCCTGCCGACTGGAAGACTTAGAGGAGCTCTCGTGTCAACCACTTCCATTCCTCTCATTAGACCATCTGTAGCACTCATAGCTACAGCTCTAACTCGATTATTTCCTAATAATTGCTGTACTTCACAAGTCACATTAATTTCTTGACCGGTAGTCTCTACCTTTAACTACCAGAGCGTTGTAAATATTAGGCTGAATGCCCGGTCTTAGGTGTAGCCTTTCCCCCCGGCCAATGATTTGAGCGATACGTGTCCCCGGTTCTTTTTTTGCAAGTTAAACTTGAAAAATTGCTAGTCAAGCATAAGAGTAGGGATAAGCCCTGTAAGCCAATATGGATTTCTTTATCCTATAAAAAAAAGATGCTTTCCCATATATTTTTGAACGTCAGACATAGGATCAGTTATGCTAGCAAACAAAGACGGAGAAATCCGTTTTGCTAACTTAATCGCTCTAGATAAACTAAAGAACGATAAGTATTTTTTAACTAGCATATTAGCTTTGTCATCCCTTTTATAGATTTGTTGTCTATGAAAGGATAGTATGATCCTAGGGTAACCTGATCTAGTGAGTGATACGGAGATGGTTTAGTAAGAATATCATACGGGGTAATCCCACCGTACACCTGTTGAAGTGTTACTGCGCACTGCTTCTGATATAAGGCAGTGAACAGAGCGCTTGACTGGCGATTCATATAAACTACCTTTAAACTACCTGCTTGGCAAAGAGGTATGCTCCGATACAGAGCTCCTGGTTAGGTTAGACCAAAAGTTACTACTAAAATAAACTTATTACATACACATTGACTTTAGTAGCCGAAGATCTTAGAAGAGAGTAAGAAAAGGAAGAAAACGGATAAAGAAATGAGTGATTTTTGATTTTAGAATATCATAGTAGGGTCAGGCCTGCCTCACTAAGGCCCGACGTCATCTCTGCGATCAGTGCTCCTTTTTCACTATATAACCATACTTAGTTAGAGTTAAGTTTCAAAATGAGTGATTTTTGATTTGGAGAGAGGGAAAAGAATGAAAAGAGATCATCCCAACACAACAGGTGACCGGGAAATCCACAGGTTCAATAGAATGGAATGGTCCAGCAAAGTGAACGAAGTCCTATGTTCACTTCAGTAGTCCCCTTCAAAAGCGGCTTCCCGAAACACGGAACAAATCCTATTCGCGAATCGGCATGCTGCTAGTTAACCAAGGTTCACTTCAGCTATGGTGCCAAATCCATTGCATTGCTTTGCCATCTTAGCAGCTTTCTTCTCACAGGTGCGGTAGCAATACCTAAAAAATAGAAATGAGTGTGGCGGGGCAGGAAACTACCTCGCGTCTTGTCGAAACAAGGCGTGGAAGGAGATTTTTCTAAAAAAATGGCTTTCCATCGCGCGTTGTTTGATAAGTTGATTACCCTGAGGGTGGCTCGCTCAGTGCTTACGAACGAAAAAATGTTTGTCAATTAGGTGCGGAATACCTAATTCACTGGAGGACCTCTGAAAGGGCTTTCTAGTTGATCACTAACCTTGGCATTCTCCTTTCGTGCTCATTTCTGTTAGTGACGTATTTTGGAGCACTGAACCATGGACTCTTACTTGGCTTAATTAGGCCCTTCTTCAAGAGATCATCCATTTATTTCTGATTCAACTTTCTCAAATGTATTAGTTCGATCTATTAGGTTCTTCGATTTGTTCGGAAAAGAAACGAGAGCCAAGAAAACATCTTTGATTACGATTAAAAGGAACAATCTCAAATAGACCAAGATCCAATTTCGGGTCATTTCTTGGTGAACATAATCTGCCATAATCTCTTCGATCCCTTCATTTATGTGCCAGAATAAAGAGAGATTTGGTAGGAAAGTGGAAGAGACTTTTTTGTATATGATAATCAAAGGGAGTGGGAAAGCTGTAGTAATTCTTTGGAAAAGCCCGGTTCTCTTTATCTTCGAGCTTTCATTCCTCAATCCACTGTTTCGTTCCTTCATATACCTCCCCACCAATAGATAGAGACAAATGGGAATAACCGAACCACGTCTACAAAATGCCAGTACCATGCAGCTGCTTCAAAGCCAACGTGATGCTCCTTGGTCAGATGACCAAGATATTGGCGAATACCACATATGATCAAGAAAAGAGTACCTATAATCACATGAAAACCATGAAAGCCAGTTGCTAAGAAAAAGGTAGAACTATAAATACTATCCGAAATAGTGAAGGGTGCTTGATAATATTCCATTCCTTGAAAGCCAGTGAATACTAGAGCCAGTGAAACGGTAGCTACTAAAGCATAAACTGCTCGTTTTTCCTTCCCCGCGAGTATAGCATGATGAGCCCAAGTTACGGCAGCTCCGGATGAAAGGAGAATAGGGGTATTAAGAAAAGGGATTTCCCGAGGATCTAAAACCCCAATCCCTTTTGGGGGCTAAATACCCCCGATCTCTACCGTAGGTGCCAAAGAAGAATGAGAAGAAGCCCGAAAAAAAGCAAAAAGGAACATAACCTCCGATACGATGAACGGAATAGAACCATATCGAGGTCCTAATTGTACGACTTTGGTATGATGTCCCTCCAACGTGGATTCACGTAGAACATCGCGCCACCATACAAACATGGTATATACGATAAATATGAGGCCCAAACTGAGAAGTATTGCACCCCCTTGAAATGGGTGCATGTACATCACACCTCCTACGGTGGTTGCCAAAGCTCCGAGTGAACCCGAAATAGGCCATGGACTTGGATCTACCAAATGATAAGAATGCCTCTAAGATTCAATCATAAACCACTTATACTCGGTTGTATGTCAACCTCCCCTTCACCCCCAAAAGTGGTAAAGAAGTATTTTGGGTCTAATTATCTTTCTATCTGACAGGACGGAAGGGATGGTTCTTTCATTGCATTGATAGAAGTAGAAGTCTAACTAGAATCTCTCTATTACTTTGAGAAGAGAATCGTTGGTTTGACCGACGAACTACGTGGGAGAAAGAAATAAGAAAAAAAAAGAAAGAAGGGGGTAGATTTAGGCTCCTTCCCTTCCACTGCATAGCTGCGCTAGCAGGTACTACGAGCCCCCTGTCCCACGCATCTAACCAGCTCGCGTGGTTCACCGGTTCCACCGAAAACTCTCATTTGTTGAAGCGGAGCATAGTGCGCTTTAGGCGCCGAGCGAGAAACGTCTCTTTCTTCTTTCGTTTCGGTTTATTCACTGATCTGAAACTTAGCACTTGTTTTCTTATTGATTCTAGCGGCGGCGGCGTTCTTAAATGGAACAAGCAACGGAATTAGCGCTCTAGCGCGAAAGCCCCCACTTAGTTTAAGGCGTTAGTACGAACAAGCAACGCCCGCTACGAATAAAGGCACCCGTTAGCGAAAGCCCCCACTTAGTTTAAGGCGTTAGTACGAACAAGCAACGGATAAGCGCTCTAGCGCGAAAGCCCCCACTTAGTTTAAGGCGTTAGTCACGCGCAGCCGTTTTCTTGCTGCAGCCGTTTTCTTGCTGCTTTAGTTGGATTGCTGCTTTAGTTGGATTGCTGCTTTAGTTTGATTGCTGCTTTAGTTTGATTGCTGCTTTAGTTGGATTGCTGCTTTAGTTTGATTGCTGCTTTAGTTGGATTGCTGCTTTAGTTTGATTGCTCGGTGCTTGTTGTGCGTTAGTCGCACAGGAACAAGCAACGAGCAAGAAAGGCTCCTTCCTTGAGGAGAGTATTCGCAAGAGTTTCTTGACGAAGTCGACAGCCGGTTGGAGCAAGCCCGAGAAATAGATCGGGTTCGTGACAACGAACGTGGTCGACTACGGGAGGAGCTTGATGCCCAAATGGCACCTTTTATTCAATTCAGGCGGCCGAGCTCGCAGCTGAAAGTCGGGCGAAAGCCGTCGAAGTTCCAACGTTGCTTAGTCAATAAATCCAGGCCCAAGAAAAGAACATTGTGGGACGAGGTGTGCAGCGAGAAGAAATAAGGGTCTATCAAAAAAAAAAGAAATAAGGGTCGAAGTTTAAACCGCTCACAGTAGTTCTTTTTTTGGTTATCTTTCCGGTTATCCGCTCACAGTAGTTCTACCTAATAAAAAAAAGAATAAATTGATTGGATACCGTTTGTGGGATTAATTGATTGGATACCGTTTATGGTATTAATTGATTGGATACCCAAGAACCATAATCTTTACTAGGAACAGCTTCTACGACAATAGGCGTAAAGGCATGATTAGTTCCACAAATCTCACTGCACTGACCATAGTAAACCCCTTCTCGTTGTACCGAAATAGAGATCTGATTTAAACGACCAAGTACAGCATCACATTTGACACCTAAGGAAGGTACAGCCCAACTATGAGGTACATCAGCAGGTGTTATAATAATACGTAGATGAGTTTTGGCTGGTACAACCACTCTATTGTCCACTTCTAATAAACGTGATTGACCCAATTCTAGATCATCTTCTGGAATCGTATAACTGTCAAAAGTTAGTGACTGTTCATCGGAACTGTTATAGTCTGAATACTCATAAGTCCGATACCATTGATGTCCAATAGCTTTGATAGTAATGGCTGGATCTACTACTACCTCGTCCATTGAGTATAACAGAGCAAATGATGGTATAGCAATGAACATCGGGATGATACTAGGAAATATGGTCCGAAGAATCTCGATAGTAGTTCCATGAACAATCCTTTGCGGGATTGGATTTTTTGATAGTTGAAATGCCATAAAGCGCGAACCAAGATCCGTGATACGAAAACCAAAATCAAAATGAGGAAGAAAAAGATATCGTGATGTAAGTCTATTATTCCTTGCATCATAGGTGTTGCTGCGTCTTGAAACCCTAATTGCCATGGTTCCGCTACATCACAAGAAGAATTCGTTAATAATTGATTTAGAACAATAACAATCATTTGCTTTGGTTCATTATTTGACTGCTCTGCTCCCAAAAGGAGAGACTTTCTTTTTCTTGCTTGCTCTCCCAATTCAGGAAGACGGAAATCGCCAGTTGGGTTTACCAACCAAGAAAGACATGGGAAAAGAAAGATGCACAAAGGAAAGAACTCATTTCTCAGGAGAAATATACCTAGACCGACCTGCTAATTCCATAAAGACCTAGCTAAGAGACTTTACTGACTGACTTGATCAATCGTACTAGATAGATAGTCTCAGATAGACCATAATCCTTTCATACGCTATTTTTGATCCAATCTCGCACTTGGTCTGATCCTCTTTATTGATGTTCCCTCACAGACCCATTATGTAACCTTCTCTTATTACGACGTTTCTTTCTTGATTGAATACATCATTGATTGAAACAATCATGCAAGAGGTCTGCTACGTCAATTGCGTGCGTAAGGAGTTGGACAGAGAGAACGGCACCATGTGAGATTCTCATCCCTACTCTTTCGATTAATGGTCTTGATGTCAGCCCTCTTCCTATAGATCTGGGATGGAGGGACGCAAGATAGAGCAAGAGGTTTTTTGATTGCCCTTTTGAATAGGCAACTTTTACATACGGGAACTTACGAATAATGATTCTCTTTGACAGGAACTTGCTGATAAGAGACTCTCTTCGATGCAACTCAAAGGAAGTCGCTCCAGGAGTCCAGAGAGCAGCCAGATGTTACGGTCAGAACTGACTAGCGTGATCGGAACCTCTGAGGATAGAAAGCCCGCTGCTTACCAGATTATGCTAGCAACTTCACACCGACAGAGAGCAAAGATAAGGCGGAATGGAGACCATCGGTCGCCGCGCCGGCTCAAAAAGAAAGGTTCTTACTCCGAGAAGACTTACCCAAAAGAGCCAAAGCGTTCAGGTCAGCAACTCGACCTTCGCCTACTTCGGAAGGATCCAATGAAAGTGGGCCCAATTGCTTGAACATAGAACCTTTGTATCCGAGAGTAGACCTGTCCATAACGAAATCCGGAACCTGAATCAAGGATTGGTACCTTGTACTCAAGACCTTTCTCAGCAAGCCAGTCATAGACCTTCCATAGAAGACCAAATTGAACCAACTGAGGGTCAGTTTTTTTGACCTTCCAGGACCGGTTCACAACCGGAGCTTCGAAGAAATCTTGGATGGTTACGTCGGGTGACCAGGCCGTAAGCCAATACCAACGGACATAAGCTAGCCACTATTTAATCCAAGCCCGCAGAACAGTCCACTCATGTAAGTATTCCAGACCGTCAATCTTAAGATCTGGAAATAACTTAATATCGAGCGGTTTCGTTCTTTCCCTTAAGAAGGCCACTAAGACCCCCCTAAGGTATGGGTCGAGGGGTCTACCACGCCCTAGCCATATTTCTAACGGCATAGAGCGCTTGTAGAACATAGAAAGCAGCTTACCGAGTTTGCTATACTTCCTATGAGGGAATTTACTAATGGTTCTATAACCAAATCCACCAATCCTTTTCCAGGGTTGTAAACCTTTTGACTGGATATGTCATATGGATTGACATTCACCCGTAAGGGTGATGATAGTTCATAAGGCAGTTCAAGGAGATGGGTGACAAATCCACCGTCACTGAACGTGCATAGAAACGTTTAGCAAATTCCAGACATCCATTATCAGATATCAGAGATTAATGATTTGGATGTTGATATTGGAATATAAACCTCTGACCGGCTTGTTTGCTTGCTTGCCTACTCTGAACCCTTATCCTTGAACTCTGAAAGCACTCTACTGAACTTTCAGACGTCTTATAACGGATTATAATCCACTTGCTCTCTCCTACTCTACTCTCTAGGAACAGATGATAAGAGATCACTAGGGAATTGAACCGCTAGTAACGATTCCTTCTGATATGATTCTGATTCAATCGGATGCTTATCCGGGCATCGAATTTCATTTTTTGATAGCTAGACTAGTTGCATGGGAACTTCCTCGATTAAAGACTGATTTTAATAGCCCTTTTAAGGGGATCCCTCTCTCAGTCAGTCAAGTCGGAATCGAGTTCATACAGAAATAGTCTTTTCAACTCAGCTTTTCAGCATTCATTCCAAGTCTTGGAAATCGTATATCCCGGGTTTAGTCATTGCTCTTCATTCGCCTAGTTGTCCCTGAAGGGAATGTGTAAGCGAAGCGTCCCCCCTTTGACCTTCTTCTGCTTTCTTTCCATTTAGTGTGCAAAGTGTTCCGTATATGGCTAAGTGTCCATTTTCTTCGTGGTGAAAGAGCCCTTAGGGAAATAAATCTTCCTATCCTTGATTGAGGGCGGACTCGACTTCATGTCCAATTTGATCCTTGCAAGCAGTCCCATTCTTGTTATCGTAAGCTTTCTGTGGTAAGCGGCTTTTCCTTTAGTTCTTTTGTGCTCGCCTTACCTTATTGTGCTTTGCATCTTTCTTTTTTTCGTAAGCCTTGATGAAACCGTTGCGAATGCTACAATAGCTTCGCCTTAAAGTCATCAAAGCTGATATAGGTTGTGCTATTAGTGATTGTGGTGACGAAAGCGGTGGTAATCCGGCATAAATAAACAGATCCTGTGTGAGACCACAGAATTGATTGCAATGAGAGCTTACTTGAGTGTGCATACATAAGTATGTGGCCATGGGCTGATTGCCCTTTTTTAAGTTAAGGTCTGAAGTGGAAGCTTTCGAGCCCCTTTCTACAAAATCTCTGATCAAGGAATCGCTTTTCTAAGGCTACAAAAACATCTCGTGCAGTTGGTAGATCATGCACTTCCTGTAAAATATCCCGCGTAAGAGTGGCATTAGTGGATGACTGTTTTTTCGAATAGGTTATAGAAGAGAGAATAGGCTCTAGGACTGATCACTTTCCTGTGTCCTGTGGGGGGAGGCCCTATTCATTACGCGATCCTTAAGTCCTACCTTACCTGACTAGAAAGCCTTTAGCGCAGTACTGTTACCCAAGAAAGTAGAATAGATTCGATTAGTAGCCAGCCATCTTATCAGGCTAGGTGGGACCCACCGTTCTGCTTACAGCCTTGAGAATCAATTTGCATTCTGACTGCCTATCCGAAGCTGAGTTTTGGACCAATAGCGAAACCTATCGACAACTTTATACACAGAAAGTGTTGACCTTTATACTTCAAACTAGTTATATTTGAGCCATAATACCTACAGGAAAGCACATTGAGAGGTGTCAGTTCCTTAGAGAAAGGACCCTATTCTCTCTCTCTAGAATATAGATGCTAGTAAAGCTACTGTCGCTCTCAACTCTAGAATCTGTCTAAGTACCCCTTTCAATCGGATCGAAGGTCGCTAGCGAGCGAGTCCTACTGAATAGCCCAGAACATGGAATACCAATCTCAACAGAAAAAGAGTCTTTTCTTTGTCTTCAGCGCTACGTGTCTTTCCCCTTTGTATGCTTAGGGTGCCTCCCTCCCCCTCGCTATTCACCTCCCGCAGACCAAGACTCCAACCGAAGCACATACCAGGGAATTAGTAGTCGGAGAATTGGTGGTCATAGGATCGGTACATCGGTGTGGGTACAATGATTTTATGGGCTTGTAAATGGAATTGGTGTAAATTCAGTTCGGCAGGGTCACCGAACGAGCGTCGCTTCTTAGCTTGCCCAAGGATGCTAGCCATATCACCCAACAATTTAGCACCTTCTAACATTTCTTTAGGAAATCGCTTAGCTATATCTCTTACCGTGTTTATGTCGGCTTAGATCCTAATCTAATATTCCCGACCCCTACTCCCATAATGCTGACCTTAGCATGGACGAGGACTACCGAGACAACAGAAAGCCTAACGTAATTCGAATGGGCAATGGTATGAATCGTTACGTACACCTAAAGCACGCTTCTTTAATACCTTATACCTTTGCCCCCTTGAAGGAAGTTCCTGGAATCCATAAGCAAGTGCTTGGTAGGCCAACAGCCCAGTGAACCCTTTTTGTATGGTTCGGAGCTGTAATGCCAATCTCTTGCCCTTCTTTCGAGGCATACCACCTAAACCTCGAATCAAAACCTTTGGATCCTTCTACCTATACCTAAGAAAGAACCAAGGCATGGCTGTCAAATCAAAGGCCGTACGATCCGTATCCGTGAATAGAGGGACAAATGCCACAGAAGAAGGAAAAGTAGCTGCTCTCGAATGCCCTCTTGCTGCTTGAAAAGGAGCTCATGACATAAACTGACACTATTCAATGTCTCGAGTAGGCCAATTGCCTTTCTTACCTTTGCTTTGCCATCTCGTGAGTAGCTGTTAGATGTGTCCTTCCCGATCTTAGCATGCCCAGAATCTGTTGCCATGCACACCGCAATCAACAGGTAATCCCGCATCTGATAAGGCAAGTCGAATCGCTGGGGTACTTTTGCCATATATGCAGGCAGATGCCAGAAGGTATGTCCGCAAATGGGATAAGTGCCAGCGACACTCGAAGATGATACACTCACCGGCGGAAGAACTCCATCCGATTTCGAGCCATTTGCTATGTGGGGGATGGACATAGTGGGACCTCTTCCCAAAGCAACAGGAGGTCGGGAATATTTACTGGCTGCCACAGACTATTTAACTAAGTGGATCGAGGCCGTTCCACTAGCCAAATCAGAGAACAGGAGGTGCTCTCACATGAATTTGACCACCTCATATGCCGATTTGGGATCCCGTACGCGGTCATCACTGACAACGGTAAGCAATTCAAAGGAAGGAAGGTCTTGGCATTCTGCAAGGAGCATGGGATTTTGCAGCAGGCCTCAACTCCGAGGTACCCACACCACAGGGGAACGGGCAAGCCGAGGCATCAAACGATCCTCGATAACTTGAAGAGCAGCAAAGCCCACAGAAAGTGCGTTTTTTTAGAAATTCCATTTTCTAACTAAGAAAGCAGTCTACTCATGTACTCTAGCTTCGCTAATGAGATAAGGTAGTTGGCTTACTTGCTTGTTAGAGGACAGGTAGTTTACTACTTGCTGTTGTTAGAGTTCAATCATCTCCTGTTCCAGTAACCGGTGCTAGTGGTAGTAGGAGTTCTTGGTCAACTATCATTGGTGATGCAGAAGAGGATTGAGGGAAAAGAGGATTACAATAAAGCTAGTAAGGCAAGGTGCGTAGCGGGAATGACTAGTCCCGCACCCACGGACATCAGGAAGAGAATCGGTTGTTGATTGAATCAAAATAGGTTGGGATTAACTGCCATATTTCGTACATCTCTTTTTGTGTATATAAGAAATCAAATGCTTTCTTCTTGTGTGATACA